TGTGCACTGCCCAACAGCAAACTATTCAGCCTGCTTCTTTCCTTCCTGTGGGTAAATAGAAAGTGATGTTCTGCAAGCCACGCTAGTATTTGAATGTTACTATTTTAAATCATAAAGACAGGCCTATAGAGTCATAGCTGGAGGGAAATGGCCTCCTTGGGGATATTCTAGGTCCTTTTCCCGGAATACCTTTTGAGGAATAAAAGAAGTAAATTATGTTACAGTAAGTTGTAGCAGGACCAAGTGTGTGTGTGTGTGTGTGTGTGTGTGTGTGTGTGTGTGTGTTGAAAAAAACCTTATGATGGTAATTATTATGTGCAGCTGGTAATGTAGGTTAACCAGCAATCTTGGACCAAACCCGATAGGGTATAACTGTATGGGTTTTTAGAATACAGTTCTGGAGAGCTTTTTCTATGCTCAAAGACTGCTCTGAAGAGCAGGTTAGAGAGAAGCCATTATGCTGCTCTAAAGGAGGCTATGTTGGAATAGTTGTTTGCTCAAGGTTTATGTTTTGCTTTCTCATTTGGCTTAAGATGAAGATGCCTTATTTTGTGTTACTTACAAAGACTATGTAAGTTTCTTGCACTGTTTGTTTTTGTATGCAACGTTGCAAGTTTGTGTTTAATCTCTGCTATTAAGAGTAAAGATTTTTTTGTTTCTATTTATTTATTATTAATTTACAGTATATATATACCGCTTTTATCACCCCTAGGGGGACTCAAAGTGGTTTACACATAGATAATGGCAAAAATTCAATGCCTTACAACTGCAATAGTAAAACCACAAATTAGACATAAATCATATTAAAAACAGTACATCACCAAATATCAAACAGTTATTAAAACCATAAAACAATCTCATCAGTCAAGTCGCTGTTCCAGTCCTTGTCTCACTAAAATTTGCAAACATCTATTGTCCAAAGGGCTGGTCGCAGAATCATGATTTTAATTTTTTTCTCAAGTTCGGGAGCAAGGGAGCAGATCTTACCTCCTTTGGGAGTGTGTTCCATAGGCGGGGAGCCACAGCCGAGAAGGCCCTGCTCCTCATCCCCGCCAGCTGCATTTGCGCTGTTGACGGGAGTGAGAGCAGGGCCTCCCCGGATGATCTTAAATTGCAAGGTGGGACGTAGGGGCAGATGTGTTTGGACAAGTAAGCTGGGTCAGAACCGTATCGAGTTTTACTCTTGTCCGTGTATCTTGTGCATGGGCCATGGCTAAGATCTGCTTGCTGCACAACAAATTATACAAGAAAGCATTGCAAACTGTATTCTGGTCAAGTATCCATAAAAATCAAAAATCTGTTTCTACACCCTATGCATATATTAATTTTTATTAAGATTGACTCTCAGGAATATTATGTGATAGTGGACCCTTGGTATCTATTAGGATTTGTCTCCAGGATTTCCATAGCAATTGTGAAAATCTGTGGCCTGTCTGATGTTGTTGGACTCAAGTCCCAACAAATTTTGCTAACTTAGGCCAAGGGAAAGGGATGCTTGCACCTGGAGCCTAAAACCATTACATTCCTGCCTTTGCCCTGTAAGTTATAAGCTTATAGATCTGGCAGAAAGGGGAGTTGTTGTTTAACCTTTCAGCTCCAGGCAGGAGAATAAAGTACTCTATACATATAAATATATATAACAGGGTATATTTTTCTAACAATCTCCTTATCAAAGCTCATACGAATGGCTTTTTCTTGTGCCGTGTCAAGTCTACATTTTTCCTCCTGGATTGTTGTAATTAGCAGCGTAATGCCAGTACAATAAAAATGTTAGTGCCCTCAGTAACATTGCAGTATCCAATTCCATTTATATTGGCCTCCAAAGGGCAATATTATGAATTTACATGAGTGTGTTTGACATTTGCCAACCTTGGAGATTTGCCTCCAACAGTCAGTCCCCATAGGTGGCAAGAGTATAAGATGTGATTACTTTGAGGACCGCACTCTTGGATTTTGTCATCTAGTCATTTCCAAATGCTCAGCTCTACACCAAACCATGTTCCTACTGCCTTATGAGTACCCGATTGCAATTAGCAGAGTTTCCAAGGAGAAACTGACCTGAGGAGGTGTGTGCAAATAATTACACACAGAGCACTTGGTTATAAATACCCAACCTTTTGATGTTGTTTTTTAGCAGGCTGTGGCAATAAAAATAGCACAGTTCTGGTTTAAAAGTTGTATGGATTTAATTAAAGGTTCATTATTTTTACAAGCTGGACTAATTGGCAATGACTGAGGAAACTGGAGACTGGTTCAAGCCAGCTATGGGAAAGAAAACTTGGCTAAGATAGTTTTTCAACACTTAATCATTATAACAGTTATAAGCACCCGAAGTAGCTTACTTCCGACCTCGGAAAAGTTATTTTTGGGAGTGCAACTCCTGTAATCCAAAGATACATACATAAGGATTTTTTTACAAGCTCTGGACTTTCCCAACCCAGCACCCTGGAGTTGTTGTGACCAAACTCCTTTCACATCCCGCTACACATTGGCTAAGGATGTTGTGAGCTATAGAGTGCCCGATTGTGGAATACTAAAGTTCTGACACTTGTTTTCAGGTCTGGACAAGATGAAAGATAGGACCTCATCACATTAGGTCCCTATTGCAGGTGATCATCTTCGATCATCTGGAGAGGCCCTGCTCACGCTCCCACCACCATCGCAAGCGCGATTGGTGGGGACGAGGGAGAGAGCCTTCTCGGTGGTGGCCCCTCGACTCTGGAACTCTCCCCAGGGACATTAAGCAGGCCCCAACTTTGGCAGTCTTTGGGAGGAGCCTGAAAACGTGGCTCTTTCGGTGTGCCTTCCCAGAATAAGGAAACTCCCAGCAATATGTCCTTAAACGCACTTTAATAATGATTTAAGATTGTCTGCACATTTCTTCCCTCTCCAAAACCTCTATCTCCATTACATGTCACCTGTTCATGCCCAGCATTATTTTTAAATTTTTAATTATTACATTTGGCCCAGCAATAGGTTTTTAAATGCGTCGTGTTATTGTTAATGTTTTTTGCTTATTTTGCTTATGAGTTTTATGTATTTTTTTGTATTATTGCTGTTATTGTTTATTGTTGTATTGTGGGCTCGGCCTCATGTAAGCCGCACCGAGTCCATTGGGAGATGGTAGCGGGGTACAAATAAAGTATTATTATTATTATTATTATTATTATTATTATTATTATTACAGTGGGGGAATTTGTTGGATAGCATGGCCAATCTGTGGGGCAGCAGGGAAAACAGTCACCCCACGCTCCACATCGCCTACATCACTGCCTTCCCCATCATACGGGGGAAAGTATGGCACCTGTCACGATGCCAGGGTACTGCCGTTATTCAGGCAGAGGTGAATCAAACAATCACCCAGTCTGTATCAAATAGTTTAATTAAAACAGCACTTACTTTCTGGCTGTTTTAATAGTCCAAAACATAAAACATAAAGATAGCACTCAGCCACAGAATATAAAACAAAAACTGACAGCAAAAACTGTTGCAAGTTCAAGATAACACCGTAGTCACAAGGTCCAGTCCAGTGGTCAAACACCGAGAGTTTAATGAGCAAAGTCTAGGGAACAAGAGTCTATACCACAGTCAAAAGCCAGTCCAAAGATTCAAGGTTCCAGGATTCCAAAGGTTCAGGAGTCAGGTCAGAATACCAAAAATCCACAAACCTGGGAGGGGGGGGGGGGACCAGCAGCATGTACCAACAAAAGAAAACAAATATTTTTCTCCTGACAATCAGTCCCAAGGCTAGCTCCTTATATCGAGAAACACCCAGCTGCAACCCATCTCTTGCATACCTCCACCCTTAATTGCTTTTACCCATGAACTGTTACTTACATATTACTCAACCCTTTAGAACTAAGACTTACATTAACCCCTTCCATCACCAATTGCTAGGCCTACCACCACAAACCACCAACAACTGCAGAACATGATACATGACACAGGTCTGGACAAGAATGAAAGCTAGGTCTTCATTACATTAGTTCCCTAAGGTGGGTGACAGTGGGGGAATTTGCTCAGCAAATCTATGGGGCAGCAGGGAAAACTGTCATCCCATGCTCGACATCGCCTACATCACTGCCTTCCCCATCACTCTGGGGAAAGTATTGTCACTCAGCTTCTGCCTGCACTGGCCCTATTGTGGGCTATGAGAACATGAGTAGCCACCCATGTTCTCAGGGCTCCGTCCAAAGATGCTTCCAGGACAGAATCCTTCCAGAAGAAGCCTTACATTGTGTGAAGGGCTCCATCCTGGAAATATCCTACAGTGGAGCCAGAAGTCAATGTGGTGAGGTCCCTAGTCTTTCAAATGTGCAGTTGAGATAGCTGCATCACTATCTATCTGGTAAGAGCATGAAGATGACTTCAGTAATTTCCAGGTGCAAATGAACTGTTTGTATAGGTAAGAATATATACTATAAAGGCAGCAGATCCCATCTGATCTTGGAAGCTAAGGAGGATCAGGTCTGCTTGTATTTGGATGGGAGACGTCAAATATCTATAGGTTATATTTCAGAGGAAGAAACAGGCAAAGACATTCCTCACCTGAGAAAACTATTAAATTCATAGGGTCATCATAAGTCAGCAGATATAAAGCACATACACTCATGGGTAAGAATCATCTCATCACATTTGCTATCCACCTTTTTTCATTGTGTGTATTCAATTTATAAAAAATGATGTTTATTTACAAAAATGATGAATATTTGAAAAAATCACGACAGTTTTGTCAGAAGTGTAATGTTTTAATTTTTAAAAAGAGTGTGCTACAATTGTCTACTACGATCAGGCCCCCGGGTGTATTACTTTGTTATCTGAAGTAGCAGGAATTTACCCCCAGGAGAAAGTATGAATATTAGTCCTCATAGCAGTGAGTTAAGGGTATTGCTCACCAGCATAACCCTACTAGACTTGTGTTTCACATTTACCAATTAAATCCCAAATCATGTGCTACCATGTCAAAATAAAGCTTTTGTGGTACTGTGTTTGCTTCAAAGGCCATTGGACGTCCACATCTTCCTCCCTATTGGTCTCTGGGGTATCAGCTTTCACGATGGGGATATCCCAGCATTGATGTCGTGAAGCAAACTGTCAAGCGCATGGAGCAATATGGCATCCCACATGTAAGTATGCACTTTGTTACATGTAACTGAATGTGTAAACATTTGTAGTGCAATTAACAGAATCTATATAAATAAACATGTAATGTTTGTTTGTGGGATTAACATAACTCAAAAACCACTGGATGAATTAACACCAAATTTGGACACAATACACCTATCAGGCTAATGAGTGACCATCACTCATAAAAACACTAAAAAAACACAGCAGAAGAGACTTAAAAGGCCAAAAAAATACATTACAACACATGCACAAAAACATATATGTGTGTGTGTATATATATGTGTGTGTGTATATATGTGTGTGTGTATATATACACACATACACACACACACATATGTACACATATACACAAAGCACATATACACAGACTGGGCCACAGCAACGTGCGGCAGGGAACGGCTAGTGACTCATAAAAACACTGAAAAACACATTGGAAGAGACTTTAAAAGCCAAAAATTAAATCCATTACAACACATGTGCAAAACCACATATGCACAAATATATATATATATATATATATATATATATATATATATACACAGAAAACACATATACACAGCCTGGGCCACAGCTACACATGGCAGAGAACAGCTAGTGACTCATATAACACTGAAAAACACATTGTAAGAGACGTAAAAAGCCGAAAAATAAATCAATTACAACATATGCGCAAAACCACATATGCACAAATATATATACACGCATATATATATACACACAAAACACATATACACAGCCTGGGCCACAGCAACGCATGGCAGAGAACYGCTAGTGACTCATAAAACACTGAAAAACACATTGGAAGAGACGTAAAAATCCAAAAAATAAATCCATTACAAAACATGCGCAAAACCACATATGCACATATATATATATACACACACAAAACACATATATACACAGACTGGGCCACAGCAACGCATGGCAGAGAACAGCTAGTGACTCATAAAACACTGAAAAACACATTGGAAGAGATGAAAAAAGCCAAAAAATAAAACCATTACAACACATGTGCAAAACCACATATGCACATATATATACACAGCCTGGGCCACAGCAACGCATAGCAGGGGACGGCTAGTGGTATTATAAATATCAATACCATGATGTGAATATTAGCAGTAGCATTAGTTAATAGCATCGTCATAAATGTGTAATTAGTAATGGTTACTAGGATTATTAATCAGGATTACTAGAATGATTAATATTATTGTTATCAATTCAGAATTCTATTGTTTTATGCAAAGCTAATATTTCAGAAAGTTGATTTAGCTTGGATAAGTCAATGGCAGTGGTGAAAATTCTCTAGCTTTTTCCATGGTGCTATTATGAGCTGAGTGGGTAAGCAATAAATGGCTGTGATTCGCTGTGTTAATAAAACTGACTACAATGTGTTCTTGCTGCATTTGTCAGGATGTTCAATATGCAGACATTGATTATATGGACAACAACTTGGACTTCACTTACGACAAAGACAATTATGCCGGTCTGCCAGAGTACATTCAAGAGCTGAAGAAAGATGGATTGCACTACATTATTATTCTGGTAATTTAGCAACATACTTGCTGTCTTATTAACAGACTCTCCCTGTGTAATATAGGATTTACTATGAATTATGGCACTAATATAAGACGCCTCTAGATAAGCTCAAAGACAGATGTGTTCTCAATTTTTTTAATAGAGGATCCTAGGAGGAAGCAAAGAGATGGACATAGGAGAGGAGGGAAATAACATAGTCTTAGGAAAATGCAACATTAAGAAAAGTTATATATAGAAAAACTTCTATTTTTTATTTTCAATCTATCCTTCTGTGATTGGCTGAATATGGAAAAGGAAAAATGAAGTGTTCACAAATCGCAATTAACCATGGTTTGATTTAACCATGATTTAGTGTTCAAGTCATAAACTGGATGGCAGAAGACCAAACAAAGGAAAGTTGGTATCACCCCGTTTTAGTTTTAGTTTTTCCCCCCTATGTCTTTTGTTAACATTGTTCTTTCAGAACAGAAAAAAAACCCTAGGGACAAGGCAGTGTTGTGGCTCAACATCATCACATTCAATTTCTGAAAGAAATCAGAGTTCATAAGACAACAAAATGCCACAGACTGAGACTTGGGTTTGTGGCTGGCTGACAAATAATGGCTTGTTAGCAGAAGGAGCGGGTTTAAGTTTTCTTTTTTATTATATACTAGCTTGGGGACCCGGCGGTGACCGGGTTATTTGAGAAAGGCATTGTGTGCCAAGTTTGGTCTTTATCTGTTATGTATGTGGCTTGCAGTGCTCTCAGGAAGTTAGTGAAAGTACTGCAAGTCCATTGTCCATGCTCCATTGTCCTCCAAACTGCACTAGGATGTAGAGTGGGTCATCGGGGCTCTGTGTGCCAAGTTTGGTCTTTATTGGTAATTGGATGAGTGTTGCTGTGGTCTCAGGAAGTGCTGTGGTCTCATGGATGATGGGAGTGTAAGTCCCATCATCCATGGTCCATCCTCCTCCACCAGCACCAGGATGTAGAGTGGGTCATGGGGGCTCTGTGTGCCAAGTTTGGGCTTGATCAGTCATTGGATGAGTGTCACAGTAGTCACAGAAAGTAAGTGAAGGTACTGCAAATCCCTCAGGCCCTTTCCTTTCCCCTCTGAGCCACTTGAGAATGTTAGAATGTTGAGGCTGGCTGTAGTGAAACTGCTACTCTATGTTAAAGTGTTGGTGTATAGCTCTATGTTTACATATGGCAGATAGGGAAGAATAGGCATGGACAGGGTAGCAACAGCAGAGATAGGATGCATTTGCATATGTGAAGCAGATTGGTCATATGCAGATTAGTGTAGGTCCAGGATTTGAAAAGGCTGCTAGGCCAAAATGACAGTTGAGGAGAGCAGAGCTGAACATTCCAAAATAGCAGAGCCAAGGTTCTGAAAGAGGCAGTTAGAGTGAGGGAGTTTAAAAATGATAGTTAGGAATCTGTGTGTGAAGAGGAGAGTTGGTTTTTGAGTGCCTGATAGAAATAAGCAGTTATGAAGATGTGTTAAAGACTTCTGATATAGAGAAGCAGTTAGTTAAATAGAGCTTGAGTTTTAAGGAACATAAAGAAGGCTAGTGTTGCCTTAGTTCAGAATATAATTCAGCCAAGAGTGTGTAAAGCAAGTAACATGTTTGTGAGTGTGAAACATTGATAGTTTATTCAGAAAAGTTAACCAAGTAAATGATACTCAAGATTGCAACAAAACATAATGTAACCACAAGCGTTGGAGCCAGAAGTTATAAATAAACTGTGTTACTTTGTTATACACAAGAGTGTTTCATTACCTGTGATATAAAGTACAAAGGTTTAACAGCACACAGAAAGTCCCAGCCAATATAAAAAAAGAAACTGAATCAGTATAAGGCAGCAAAGAGGTTTTTAATAAGGAAATAGTCTCTCTCCCTCACCTCACTGGCCAATCAGAAACCATATGCAAATTTCCTTTCCCCTCTCAGCCACTTGAGAATGTTAGAATGTTGAGGCTGGCCAATCAGAAGCCATATGCAAATTATACCATAGTGGTCTGTGGGTGCCCAAGCATTTTAAAGTACTACAAATCCTATAATCCATGGCCCACCAGCCCCAAACCGCACCAGGACATAAATTGGGTCATGGGGATTATTTGTGCCAAATTTGGTCCAGGTCCGTTACCCATGCACATCACAGTGGCCTGTGAAAGTGGCAGCCAATCAGAATGCTGCCACATACATACCCACATACAAACATTCTCTTTTATTATATTTATAGATATTTATACATATATAGAAACATACAATCTTCAAAATTCAGTAGTCAAAATACAAGTATTTTCCCCCAATCCCACCCTAACCCTAACCCTCTAGAATTTCGATTTTTCTCGCACACTCTACTGCTGCGTAGGGCACATTTGGAATAAATATTCATCCTCATTAAAATAAAAATGTAGTTACTATATAATGTAAAAAACAAAAACAAAGGTGGGCATCTAATTTCAGTGAGGCTTTGCTCTCTACTGTCTCTCTTTCCCCTTTGGACTTTTTTAAAAATTCATTTTTCTCAGAATGTCAGGACTTACTCATCACCCATTGCTGCCTTCCCTGAACAATAGCCCCATTTTTGCCTGTGACTTAGATTCTGAGTCAGAGCAAATACATTGTTTTGATACAAAGAGAGATGTTCTAAAAGTAACGATGCTTGATAAACACCTATTATCACAGAGGAACTTTAACGAAGAAGGTCGTCTACTGGTCATTAGCATTCACTAAATACAGAATTAATTGCAAAAGCAAATTGGAGGGATTTTAAAATCCCTAGAAGCAAGATTAAAAACAGTATTCTGGAGCTTTGGCATAAAAAAATCTGAAATCATATGCAAAATCCTGAGCACTTGAAAAGTAATATGTTTGTAGGCTACAGTTCCTTGCTTAATGTTTAACTCGATTAGATAGAGTAGGTTTGGCTGTGAATAAGCATGGTTTGTCGATTAAGCACCAATATGAATGTAATCTAGTTTTATCATGTGCTACTTGTTTGTGGTAACCGTCACTTCATAATCTGACAATATATGTACAGGCAGTCCCCAAGTTACGAACAAGATAGCTTCTGTAGATTTGTTCTTAAGCTGAATTTGTTTGTAAGTTGGGACAGATACATTTTTAAGTGTAGTTCCAGTCAAAAATGTATATATTTTATCTTTGGATAGCATAGGGAAGGGTTCACCCAGACCGGGGTATTGGGTGGCAACCTGTGCTGGACGGGGTTGCACTCCCCCTGAAGTCACAGGTTCGCAGTTTGGGGGTCCTCCTGGATTCTTCACTTACGTTTGAGGCTCAGGCATCGGTGGTGGCCGGGAGGGCCTTTGCACAATTAAGACTCGTGCGCCAACTGCGACCAACCGTACCTCGGGAAGGCGGACCTGGCCAAGGTAGTCCACGCCTTAGTCACCTCTAGACTGGATTACTGCAATGCACTCTACATGGGGCTGCTCTTGAAAATGGCCCGGAAATTTCAGATGATTCAGGTTGCTAACTGGGGCGCCTTACAGGGAGCGGTCAACCCTCCTGTTCAAGGAGCTCCACTGGCTGCCCTTCATTTACCGGACCCAATTCAAGGTGCAGGTTCTTACCTACAAAGCCCTGAACGGTTTGGGACCCACCTACCTGCGTGACCGCATCTCTGTATACGAACCCACACGATCCCTTCGATCATCCGGGGAGGCCCTGCTCTCGATCCCACCAGCATCGCAGGCGCGGTTGGTGGGGACGAGAGAGAGGGCCTTTTCGGTGGTGGCCCCTCGACTCTGGAACTCACTCCCTAAAGACATCAGACAGGCCCCAACCTTGGCAGTCTTTAGGAGGAGCTTGAAGACGTGGTTGTTCCAGTGTGCCTTCCCGGAATAATGATCCCATAGCACTTTGTCCTCCAAAGCACTTTACATTTTTAGATCTGCTCGTATGCCCTTCCACAAACACCACTATCACCTTTCGTCCATGTCCCAGCATTATTTCCATTTTAACTTTACATTTGGCCTTCCCACTGTTTTTAATTGTGTGTTGTCTTATTGATAATGTTGTATATTTTATTGTTTATGTTTTATTTTAATTGCTTGTACTGTTGTTGTTTTGTTTGTATTGTATTTGGGCTCAGCCTCATGTAAGCCGCACCGAGTCCCTTGGGGAGATGGTAGCGGGGTACAAATAAAGTGTTGTTGTTGTTGTTGTTGTTATTATTATTCACAGCCCTGTAACATTTGTTTTGATGTCTGTGGCCCTATTCAGAAGATTTCACCTCATTTTCTGTTCCTGCGATTATTGAATTTTGAAACATTTGACTTGTTGTGAAAACAAGGTTTGGCGATAAAGCTTCAGCTATTTATTCATTTATTGTGTCAGGAGTGGACCAAAACAGTTGTATTGTATTAAAAACAAACAAAAAAACAAACAAACAAACAAAACACAAAGTTTGCAGACTTGGTATTCTATTAAATGTCCTTTGACCAGTAGCTGGCCACTTGGAGTGCCTCTGGTGTTGCTGCAAGAAGGTCCTTCATTGTGCATGTGGCAGGGCTCAGGTTGCATTGCAGTAGGTGGCCTGTGGTTTGCTCTTCTCCACACTCACATGTCGTGGATTCCACTTTGTAGCCATTTCTTAAGGTTGGCTCTGCATCTCGTGGTGCCAGAGCGCAATCTGTTCATCGCCTTCCAAGTCGCCCAGTTTTCTGTGTGCCTAGGAGAGAGTCTCTAATTTGGTACCAGCCATTGATTGAGGTTCTGGGTTTGAGCCTGCCACTTTTGGACTCTTGCTTGCTGAGGTGTTCCGGCAAGTGTCTCTGTGGATCTTAGAAAACTATTTCTTGATTTAAGTTGTTGGTATGCTGGTTGATACCCAAACAGGGGGTGGGCCGGAGATGTCACTGTCTTGGTCCTTTCACTATTGGTTGTTGTCATATGGTCTGCAGTTGATGGTGGTTGGTGATGGAAGGATTAATGTATTAGTTCTAGAGGGTTTGGTGCTCTGTAAGTGGGAGTTCATGGGTGAAAGCAATTAA